CTCCTGGTCAAGGGGACAATTTGTATATTAGCCTTTTCTTATATTGGATGTTGGAGGGTATTATTTAAGAAGAAGAAGAAAAGATAAAAAACATGAACAGTATAATGGCAACAAATACATATCTATCAACAATCGAATCTAAAAATCAAGATAAACGAAGAAGAAATCTAATGAACAAAATAAACTGGTGAATAAAACAGACTCAGAGTCATTTTTTTTTTAAATCCTCACCCAAGAATATTTTTTCCATTGATTTTAGAGAGAGTGGAAGAGAGAGGGAAAGACAGAGAGAAATATTGATGGGAGAGAAACACATAAACTGGCTGCCTCCTGCATGTGCCCTGACCAGGGCCCGGGCCAGGGAGGAGCCTGCAACCAAGGTATGTGCCCTTGACCGGAATCAAACCTAGGGCCCTTCGGTCTTCAGGCTGACGCTCTAGCCACTGAACCAAACTGGCTAGGGCAAAGAGTCTTCTTTAAGAAGAAGAAGAAAAGATAAAAAACATGAACAGTATAATGGCAACAAATACATATCTATCAACAATCGAATCTAAAAATCAAGATAAACGAAGAAGAAATCTAATGAACAAAATAAACTGGTGAATAAAACAGACTCAGAGTCATGGAAGCATGGAACAGACTGACGAATCTCAGAGGGAACTGGGGCAGGGGCAGGCAGAGATTAACCGAAGATCTTACCTATGGACACAGACAATAGGGTGGTGAAGGCCTGGGGTGGGGCAGGACCCGGGTAGAGGGAAGCAGTGGGGTGGGGGGACAGGGGGGCACCTGTAATACTCTCAACAATAAAGATTTTTTTAAATAAAATAAAAAGTACATAAAAACTAAAAAGAAAGAGAGAGAGAGGGTAAGCAAGGGTCTAGGGGGAGACATGACAGGCGACCCCATTCCCACCAGCTGACTCCACAGAAATAAATCACCCACTCTGTGCCCACGAGCACACTGGGCTTTCTCACAAACAGCCCTTCATCCTCACAGCAGCCCCATAAAGAGGTCATCACTGTCCCCATTTCATAGATGAGGGAGCAGAGCCCTAACAAGGCAGAGGTTGCTCAGGACGGTTCAGTGGCAGAGCTGGGACTAGAATCCAGAATGGGACCCCGGTCCAGCGCTCTGCATATGCCGTGGGTCTCCTCTCACCCACTGGCACCCCAACCTGTGCTGTGCCTGGGGGCACAGGAGTCCAGCTGGGCTCAAGAACAGCATGGTGTGTGGGGGCCAGACCCCTCAGTGCACTTGGCAGACTGACCCCTCTGTGACCTGCCACTGAGCACAGGCTGGGACCATAAATCAGAGCCAGTCACGTGGCAGGGACGGGGACAGAAGATCCCATAAGAGGTCTGTTTCCTGTGCTAACAGGCCAGGTGGCCTCCAGCTGTCCCCTGGGAGCAGTGTCAGAACGTAGCCTCCACAGACTCACAGGATGGGATGCCTTCTGGGGAGCTGCTGGCAGCAGCAGTCCTGTCCCACCGCAATCTTGCTCAGGTTTGGGTGGGCAGGGTGAGAGGAGGGGCGAGAGCAGGAAGAACAGCCCTGAAGAGGAGGGCGGAGCAGGAGCAGTGCTGATGCGGCCACTCCCGCCCTGCCCGCTGGCCTCCACAGCCGCCTCTCTCCTGGCAGCCAGCTCTGCTGACGCAAAAAGGCCAGTGTTGCCCAGTGGTTGAGAGTTGACCTATGAATCGTGTGGTCATGGTTCGATTCCCAGACAGGGCACATGCCCAGGTTGCAGGATGGATCCCCAGTGTAGGGTATGCAGGAGGCAGCCGATGGATGTTTCTCTCTCATCGATGTTTCTATCTCTCGGTCCTCTCCCTTTTCTCTAAAATCAATAAAAAAACATATTTAAAAAAATTAAAGGTCATGGTTCGATTCCCAGACAGGGCACATGCCCAGGTTGCAGGATGGATCCCCAGTGTAGGGTATGCAGGAGGCAGCCGATGGAAGTTTCTCTCTCATCGATGTTTCTATCTCTCTGTCCCTCTCCCTTCTCTCTAAAATCAATAAAAAAAAATATTTAAAAAAATTGAAAAGGCTGGCTCTGCTTACAGCTAACATCCTTCATTTACTTCAAACAACCAGTCAGTTCAAATGGGGGTAAAAAACAGCCTGTGAACTTGCCCTTCCCCCAAAGTGTGTGTCCTCAGACCTCAGGCTCCAAGCAGGTCACGCAAAGACTCAAAACTCAGAGGCTCCCAATACCCAGCCTTGCCCTTCACACCCTGGCCGAGCAAGAAGGAAGGAAATCCAGGGGGTGCGGAGAATCCCTCAGCGGGATGAGGGGAGCTGGGGCGGTGGGACCGGGCTGGAAGCTCCCTCCAGGCGTCTGACCACAGCAGCAGACGAACCCTCTGGGCAGGAACCTGTGCCCCTGTGAGGCCCACCCGCCCAGCTGCCGTTCCCTGGGGCTGAGGCAAGCATCCGGTCACACCCAGGCCTCTCTCCTCTCGCTCCTCCCTTCTGAGCTGCCGTTGTGTTGGGCTGGCCCAGCACAGAGCTGGAGCCCCTGTCCCTCTCACCCTTTCCCGTGACTGGAAGGCAGTGGAAGATTCTGGCCCCTTCGTGGCCCCTTCCCCTTCACACTTTCCTCAGGCTGGAAGTCGCTGATATCTCCACCCTCCTTTTCTCGGCCTTCATCCTCAACCAGCAACACTATGGGTGCAGGAGGAGGAGAGCGGCTGGCCCAGCTGCCAGGTGGAGCTGGCTGTGTGGGGGGGAGGGGCTCCAGGTGACGTGGAAGGATGGATCTTTGTGGGCAGCGCCCCTCTTCCTGGTAGCTCATCCTCTTCCACCCAAAGCGATTGTACAACAGAGGGCAGAGGGGTGAAGGGCCGTGGAGCTGGGTGAGGGAGGCTCACTTGGAGCTGGGAGCCGAGTGGTCTGCGTGGAGGAAGGTGGCGGTGGTGTAGTTCTGGAAGAGAGGCTGTAGGAACATCCCGATGGTGCCAAAGACACAGACGAAGACAAAGATCCAAAGGAACAGCCGGTCGATCACCATGGCGACATACTTCCAGTCCTCGCTCACCTGGACGGAGACAAATGATGCCCAAGGATATCAGTCACATCATGCAAGATAGGAGCGGAATGGGTATAAGCAGGTCCCACCTTACACACACACACACACACACACACACACACACACACACACCACGCCTCTCCCTCAAGATCCCAGAGTGACCTTTCCAAAGCCTCCAGCAGTGGCCCCACTGCCTTCAGGACCTATCCAAACTCCCAAATCTGGAATCAAGACCCACCATGACAACATGAGCCTCCTATCCTCTTCCGTGCTCTAACTCAAATTTACCAAACCCCACATGGGCTCTCAGTTCTCCATGCCTTTGGGTTTCTTTTCTGTCTGGAATTCCTGTCCTCTCTGTCTATACCTGGTGAACTCCTATACATCCTTCAAAGCCCAAATCAAATGTCACCTCTCCTATGAAAGCTTTCCTGATGCCCCTGATAAGAATGAACCTTTGTCCCTTCTGGGTTCCTTTAACACTGTGTACACATTTCTAGCACAGTATTTATACTGCACTGTGTTACCATTCCAATTTGCATATCTGCATCCCCTCCCTCTGCCCCGCCCCATACCTCTTCCTTCAGCTCCTAAACCACAAGGGCCCGTCAAATTCATCTTTGTAATTCCAGCACATGGAACACAGAGTACCAGTAAATGGGTGTTGAATTAGTCAATGAATGGCTCCCTCTGCTCCTTACATGACTGCACGGGGAGCCCCATCCAACAGTATCATCTTGAGCACGCAGGCCCCAGACGGTGAGGACTAAGTCCCAGATGTGAACAAATGAGTCAAAAAGGCAATGACCTCTGTGGGTTTCAGGAAGCTCTGGCTCCCCTCGGAGCTGCTCCACGCCAGCCTGAGCCCAGGTCTTAGCACACATGTTCATCTGCAGCCCCGCTAGCTGGGGGATGGGAAGGAGGCACCTGTGCCCTTCATTTAGTCAGCAGCTGAATAATGACTCATTCATGTCACAGGTGTGCCTGCTGTGTACCTGGCACCATGCTGGCACTGGGGCTATAATGAGCGCAAGACAAACACATCCTGTGGGTTACAGTCTACTGAGAGAGATGGGCACAAAATAAGTAAAAATAAAAGAATTACACCCTGGCCAGGTAGCTTAGTTGGTTGGAACATCATCCCATGCACCAAAAGATTGCGGGTTCGATTTCCTAGGGCACATACCTAGGTTTTGGGCTCAATCCCCAGTTGGGGCATGTACTCAAGGCAACCGATCCATGTTTCTCACATCTATGTTTCTCTCTCTCTCTCTCTCTCTCTCTCTCTCTCTATCCCTCTCCCTCTCTCTCCCTTCCTTTCTCTCTGAAACCAATGAAAACAAATCCTCAGGTGAGGTTAACAAAAACAAAAAAAAGCAGCCTTGGCCAGCATGCTCAGTGGTTGGAGCATCACCCTGTGCACCAAAGGGTCTCAGGTTCAATTCCTGGTCCAGGGCATGCACCAGGGTTGTGGGTTCATTCCCTGCCCCCTATGGGGGTGCATGCAGGGAGGCAACCAATTAATGTGTCTCTCTCACATCAATGTTTCTCTCTCTCTCCCTCCCTCTCACTCTCTCTGAAAATGCAAAGGAACAAATATCCTCAGGTGAGCATGGCCGGTGTGGCTCAGAGGTTGAGCATTGAACTATGAACCAGGAGGTCATGGTTCAATTTCCCGATCAGGGCATGTGCCCAGGTTGTGGTCTCAAACCCCAGTGAGGTGTGTGCAGGAGGCAGCCGATCAATGATTCTCTCTCTCTCTCTCTCTCTCTCTCTCTCTCTCTCTCTCCCTTCCTTCCTCTCTGAAATCAACACAAGTACTTAAAAAAAAAATAGCCTCAGGTGAGGATTAACAAGGAAAAACAAACACCGGTGTGGCTCAGTTGGTTGGGCGTCATCCTGTGCGCTGTAAGGCTGTCAGTTGGATTTGCGTCAGGCTACATGCCCAGCTTGCGAGTTCGATCCCCCATAGGCAGCAGGCGCGAGGCAGCTGATCCATGTTCTCACACGGATGTTTCTCTCTCTCCCTCTCCCTTCCTCTCTCTCTAAAAAAGAATCAATAAAAATATATTTTTAAAAAGAATGACTCCAGAAGTCGAGAGTCACTCCAGGTTTTTAGTCTGACCCATCAGGTGGAAGGTGATGCCATTTCCTAAAATAGCAGATGAGAAGAGGAGTGGGTGGGATGCAGAGCAAGCACTCCGTTTGGGACAGGTCGAGTTTGAGATGCCTGTGGGGCAGCCAAGTAGGTCACTGCATCCCCGGCACCCTGCCGGGTAAACGCACATGACAGGCGTGGACGGCAGCAGGGGCGGGGCTGTGAGAAGCTGGCTGGATTCCCGCACCTCCACCCCCACCCATGCAGCCCCTACTCGGCCTCTGCTGGCTCCGAGGCTTCCACCCATCACCTCCAGCCTGGGCAACACCTCTTCTGCCATCGGGACCTGCTCAAACGCCAGGCTCTGAAGTCCTCCTCCTCCGCCCCCCAAACAGTGGTGCAGGAGCTCCCCCTTCCTCACCCTCAAACTGGAATGGCAGCGACCCAGCAGAAACCTCACTGGTCACCATGGCAACAGCTGAGCAGCTGCCTGGAACTAGCCAGGTACCCAAAGGCTGCGCGCGCACGCGCGGGGGCACTCAGAGTAGGGGCATGTCAACTCTTCACGCTCGGCTCTCAGATTCGGAAACCATGGGAGTCCCCTTTCTGGGGAGCTGCCAGCTGTGCAGAAAGCCGGGGGCGAGTCTCAGAAGCTCCGGCCCCCACTTCTCCTACCTCCATCCATATTTCACGAGGCCATTCCCCTGGACCCAGAAGAGCAGAAACGGTAAATTGATTTGGGACTGTCTCCTGCACCAGCAGGCTCTTGGATCCTCTTAACACCCACTCCTCCCCACTCCCCACACCCTCCCACTGCCTTTAATCTTGCCTTCCCTGCTCCCGTGGGGCACAGGAAGAACTCAGTCTCGTCTGTGCTAAGAGCTGAAGATTAGCAACTTGGGCTCGGGAATGCAAGCGGCGGGGACAGGCCAGCTGCAAACCCAGAAGGGCCTCCTCCCCTTCCCGGCCGCCCTCCGCCACTAGCGATGCCCGCAGGGGGCATTTCCCCACCGGGCGCTGGTCCCCAGGAAGCGCAAGGTCATCCCGCAGGACTCCAGCTCGGGCGGCGCCTCCTCCTGGAAGCCAATCCAAAACCCTGGCCTGCACCCCAGCCCCCAGCCCCCAGCGGCCTCACGTTCCCCGCATCCCGCCCGACCAGCTTTGCGGGTCTATCCACCCCGCGACTGCTTTCCAGATGCCGCCGCACCCACCCCTGAGTCCCGCGCACTCACGCTCTGATCCTCGTCCTCGCTGCGCATGTGGTCCGCGA